GGAGACACCTCCCAGGATCCTCACCCAACAACCCAGATAAATGAACCAATCCTCTCACCATTATCGAGTTGCCCCTCGGACAGTCTTTTTTCCCACCCTGCTGCCATGGGCTCCATCTCATCCCCCTCTCAAAGTACTCTCAGTCATGCCGACACACACTCAACACCTAAAGCGCGCCCCGTCGGTTGGTGGGGAGGGGACTTTGGTCTCTCTCGACGAAATAGGACATCTCTACCCTTCCGGAAAGCATCGTACTCTCCACACCTTGTTTCTCAGCAAGTTGCCTGCGCCAAGGGGTGTGGAAAAGTGACGGTGAAATGCGTCAAGTGTGCGGCTGCTTCAAAACTCAAAATGTACCGAAGTCTTAGTCTTGCCAAGGGTACCTTTAGCATTCTCGCTGGGCTGACCGAAGAGCAGCCAGCTGTTGCTCCACAAACACATTCCAATCACCCGGTGGAAGAGCGCTCCTGGCCCCCGTATCCCTTTCGGCCCCTCGGTTAACCTCACCTTGGACATGTGATTTTGAAGTTGGGTGATGATTTTTACTTGGCAATCGTGGTGGGTATTGAAATCTTGTATCCTGTCGGCCGCCAGATTTGATTTTATTTACATGGTTATTACTCTGTCTATGGGTTTTTCTCCTTGACTGTTTCATCCCCAGGAGTCGAGAAGCCCTGCATATAGTTATGTAGTTCAGTTTCTCTTCTCCCTTGAAAAAAACAAAAATAGTATTTATCATTATCTTCCCACTGGGTTTTTCTTGATTTCACAACTGATTGACAGTTTTGATGATAAACTTGTTTACTTGCAAACTTGATCTGATCTTTAATGGGAGGGGGGGAAGGGTGGCCTTTATAGCGTTCTCATATTCGTATTTTCTTCATGTCCATGTACCGGTGCTCTCTTTTTTTAAAGCCCTCTCACCCCCTTCAAGCTTTGCTGTGAAAATCTTTATCTTTTTGAAATCTACAATTTCCCTTCATATATATATATTTATTGCTACCTAACAATATTGATGTACAGTTGAGGATCAACATCTATATAGAATCTCAAAGTCAAATAACCTTCCCCCCCCCCACCACCAACACCATCCATAATCAAAAGGACACCTACGCAACTGACCAACTTTCTCTGCTTCTATCTTATTTTTCTTTTCTTTCTTTTTTTTTTTTTAAAATCCTACCTGGTGTTTTGTTTGTACATATTCTATTGGCTTAACCTTTTTTGTGCAAGAAACTCATAAATTATCACATTGGCTTACATGTGCTGTCAAAAAGTCAAATCCAAGTAGTGCATTTGAGTGAGGCCTCCCACAGACATCTGTGAACATTCTAACAAGCAATGCATCTACAAACAGTTGTCATAAGGACCATCAACTACTATTCAGTTTGTGGACGGTCCAGACAGTGAGCAAGTGTTACATTTGAGGGACTGCCCTATAGGCATCATTTATTCAAACAAGCATGTCAATAGTTACATACAAGGACAATCAACAGGCAAGCTTGGACGTTTCATGTGGTGCATGCCAAACGTGGAATCGCAGCCACTAAGAGCATCCGCGTAAATCCAGGTCCACATTTGGGATTAGTCATCAGGGCTTGTGCAGATGGACACATAGCTATCATAGAGTGTCAAGTCATTGGTGGATACAGAAAGACTAGCAAGCAAAGCAAGAAACATTGTTTTCCATCAATTCAGACCACACGTTAATTTTAGTTACAAATTGCTACTTTTTTCTGTCATGTGCATGTGTCAAAAAAGGGCAGAGGACATGCCCATATAGCTTGATGAGTAATTTGGGGGATTCCTTACAGCTTGCAGGTTGTGTCCCACTGTCCCACTTGGAAAACTTGTTCCCGAAGGCAGATAATAGTAGTGCACTGCTAATAGAAGAGAAATCGGATAGGGGGACATTTAGCAGAATAAACAAAGTGCTTAGTGTGAGATCAGCAATCGGCCCAGGGAAAGGTGCCCCGGGCCAGCTCACAGATCACAGCAGTATTCCAGGTATCTTTCTTTTAGGTGCTAATTGATATTGACATTGATTGCACACTACAGTGAAAGCTATTATGAGAATACATGGAAAGAGGTTTTTGTATCTGAGATTGATCATACATGATAGTATATCCAGAAAGTACCTTTTGACTTCTAATGAATTTTTAGCTTCTTAACAGACAATCATAAATAAAAGAAAATTTAAGCCTCAAAAAAAGGAAAAAAATGAAAAAAGATACAGAGGAAAAAGAGAAACAAATTGGAGTAGAAGTTTGAGGAATGTAATAAAAAGCCCCTCCTCTTTACTGGTATCTGAACCATTGTGAAAATCGATGACCTCGACTCTCTGGGCCTTGTTTCCCAGACAAGTTGCATTGTGGGGCCCTGATCCACCACCTCTTTGTATGATGTGTTTGAGAGACAGAGAGAGAGAAGACAAAGCAAATCATGGAACAGTGAAAGAAATAAAAATTCAAAATGTGTGTCAAAGAAGAAAAACAAGCATATACCCCATGAAAGTTGATTGTATATATTTTTTGAATTTTGATATATGTTTATTTTATTTGAGGGCTTTAATAAGAAAAACGTGGTTTGTCTGCATTTAGACACGGTTTTTTGATACACGCAGCAGACACGGTTTCCGTGCTTAAAAATGGTTATGCGATTAACTTTTTTTGCTGCTTATTTTTGGGCTTGGATAAAAAAAATGTGGGTTTTCTGTGTTTTGATGTGGTTTTTGCTGCGTGCAGCAGACACGGTTTCCATGTTTGGATGCCTTTTTTGTATTAATTTTTTTAGGGCCTTACTAAATAAAACACGGGTTTTCCGCGTTTACAAGTGGTTTCTGCTGTGCGCAGCACATGCAGATTCCGTTTTTCCGCTTATTTTTTGAGTTTTTTTGAATTTTTAAAATTGTTTCCTACACTATGAAAGATGTAGAATTTTATGTTCAAGTCCAATTATCATAAAAATGACTTGAATTGATTATTTTTTTTGCTCACTCATTTTTTCACTTAAATGTTTGCATTATTTTTTTACCTTGTTTTTCAACTTGTCAAAACACCGAATCTGTGTCAGCTGCATGCATCAGAAACAGTGTCAAAACAGGGGAAAACTGTGTTTTTCTATTAATGCCCTATTAGCAGCAGTGGGCCACTACGCTTTTGGCCCAAAAAGTGTAGCGTAGTGACACTTTTTCTGCGCAAAAAAATATAGTTTTAGCGGATTTGTAGCGTATTTTTGTTACACTACGCTGCGCTACAGACCGCTAACAGCGCTACAGGGCCAAAAAATTGCTAACCAGCGTGTTAGGGTAGCATAGTGGGCCCTTTTTTGGGGCCTATGCGCGTAGTCATTAGTGTTAGTGCAAGATGTGGTGGAACTCCACTACGCAACAAGTTTAGCAGAATTCTGCTACACTAACACTACTGTTAGTGTAACTGGCCCACCGTTGTGGTGGTCCAGGCTGTTATGCGCAACAAAACTGCCAAAACCCCTACCTTATAACCTAAACCACTTAAATATATGAATATATTATTGCATAATCAGAATCTACATACAATTTTACCCATAGTCACTCACTACAACTATACCTCTATCTCTATTAGTTAAGAAGATAATCCAATATAAAAGTTAAAGCCATACCATAACTAGTCATTAATTAGTATTTAATAGTAGTTTACCACATATATATAAGTACATACACATAAATTATTACATCAGCAGGCCTCCACCAGTAGTGCAGATCATTTATGCAACTCTTGCATGCATATGTGCAACCATTAGGCCTCCACTTAGTAACTCAATTAAATGTACACAGACTTTGCATAAATGCATGTGGGCAGAAAACCTCCACCAGGCAGCGCAACCATTTTATACAATCCTTACATACAGTAGCACCATATTTAGTTAATTCCACAGCATAATTAGCTCAATGCATGTACTCTTTGCAGGAGGCAGTGCAACCCACAAGGTCACCACCAGCAAAATCACCTCAACTGCATCACCACCAGCAAAAATAACTCAGAAAAGAATATGTAAGGAGGCCTCTCCTTGACCAATTCCCCCCATCATAACCCAGCCAGCACAGTACCCAGCTAGCTCAACACCAGTAACAACAGAATCAACATTAAAGTCTAGTCAACACCAGTAACAGCAGAATCAACATTAAAGTCTAGTCAACACCAGTAACAACAACAACAGCAACCAACAGTTTCAATACTTATCCAGGATCAATGTAAAACCAACGGTGAAACGATGTGATGTGATGCAATAAATAGCCATGTATTGGTATCGCATCGAAAAAGCGATGCATTGCATCAGCATCGTATTGGAAAGCAATGCAAACCGATGCCACCAAATTATGGTGCATCGCATCGCATCGCTTTGCTGATGCGATACTGATACACTGTATCGAAGAATCCGATGCAAGTGATGTGATGCGGGGCCCCGCATTGCTCTTGCGATGCGATGCAATAAAGGCCCGATACAATGCAATACCTACCTTCAAAATTAAAGTCTAGTAAACACCAGTAACAACAACAACAAGAAAAACATCAACATCAACAAACATCAAGAACAACTACGAACAGTTTCACTACTTATCCAGAATCACCGTAAAAACCATAAAACCCTATAAAATATTCCACCTGGATTGTTTTCACACTCATATTCACCGTGTAAAGTTTGTACAAACATCTTGTATTGTATTACATACTGATCTAGGTCTGATAGAGACTACTACATATAAGTTTTCTCCATCATAAAGTTATGCCACAAAAATAAATTAAATTGTTGTCAGAATTTTTGTGTAGTAAATAGAGGGGCAGGTCTTTCAAACCACCCGTAACAGTAAATATTACCTAGTGAAATATCATATTGTTATTTCCCCCTCAAGGACTGCCAACCCATCCCAAAGGAGTTCTCACACCATTGCTATTAATATTGTTATTCCATATAAATTATTTTTAATTTATCATTCAGCAGTCTTTTGGATACTCTGGAGGATCTCTAAGGCTGGCACAAGATAATAGAGAAATTGCTCTGTATGAACCAGGGGCAGAATACAACTCCTTATCCACTTTACGGATTATTGCTGTTGTTGTGTGCCTCCAAGCAACACTGGGCCAGCTACGCTAACCGTAGTGGTTAGCGCAGCGTAACGTAGTGGAATTCCGCTAAACTTTAGCGTATCATAGTGGAATTCTGCCACGTTGTGAGAACTCCTTTGGGATGGTTTGGCAGTCCTTGAGGGGGAAATAACAATATGATATTTCACTAGGTAATATTACTGTTACGGGTGGTTTGAAAGACCTGACCCTCTATTTACTACACAAGAATTCTGACAACAATTTTAATTTATTGTTGTCATGTAACTTTATGATATTGGAGAAACCTTTATATGTAGTAGTCTCTATCAGACCTAGATCAGTATGTAATACAATACAAGATGTTTGTACAAACTTTACACGGTGAATATGAGTGTGAAAACAATCCAGGTGGAATATTTTATAGGGTTTTATGGTTTTTACGGTGATTCTGGATAAGTAGTGAAACTGTTCGTAGTTGTTCTTGATGTTTGTTGATGTTGATGTTTTTGTTGTTGTTGTTACTGGTGTTTACTAGACTTTAATTTTGAAGGTGTTTGTGTTGATGACTAAGGGTGGGCCCCAACCCCGACTATCCGACCCGGCCCCTCAGGGCGCGGGAGAATTTTCTGTGTTGTTTACCCGATCGGATATCTTGGGTAGGAAACTCGGGAGGATTCTATGAAATGCTCGGAGACCGACTATTATTAGAAGTGGAGTGGTCTCCAAAGGGGTGCAAGAAAAAGAGTGTAATTATTTGAAATGAGAGAAAAGACAAGATTGTGAAATGTGATCAGAAGAATGGATTAGAAGCTCAAGGTGTGTCATCACCCTCAAGATCTCCGATTTCATATATGTCCTTCAGGCAAAGGAGGTGCTCGATTGATGTTGGATTGAGACTACCTCGATGAGGATGACTGTTTTTGATCTTGAAAATAATTGCTCAGAGGTAGCACTAGTGGCAGGGATGGCAAGGTTATCTTGCCATTGCTGCCAGTGATGGGCACAGAGACTTTTCCCTTTGACAATAATCCAATACTTATGTCTTTTGCAGCTGACACTTTTTCCGGTGATAGTGGCAACAGGAAATCATTCCATCACTCAAAAATCAGATTCAAATCCGACTGATTGGATAAAGTCCTATTCCAAAGAAAAGCCTATATCTTTGTGGCAAAGTTCCTTCGACTTTCTGGTCGCTTCATGCCAATTTCGCTTTAAATAAAACCTCAATGAGTGGGGTTCTACATCAGAGCTGCTCTGCGACTCTAAGGGGCTCTGTCCCCGTGGGAGGTATCCGATACCCGGCGGATACAGCCCGGGACCAGCAAGTTTGATACCCGACATCGGGTACACCACCGGGCGTGGTGGATGGCATTTGGACACCCAATCGGATGTACCAGATGCCATCCGACCTTGGCCCTGCAAGGAGCATCCATCGGATGCGACTTGCATATTGCTGAACCCGGATGGTAGGGCCAAACCATCCATCTGATGGTAGGATTAGAAGCCCCTGGGGCCAAAAAATGCCAGGCCTTGGGTTTGAACCCATGACCTACAGGTGCTGCCACCAGTGACTTCACAGAGGCAGTACCTTGCCACTCAACTATACTAGATTCTTGATACTTCGCTAGTCAAAGAGTCAACTACATACCCCGCGCTGCATTTTTGGATTGTTTTCCGACCATCGACCACCTTTTGAGATCATTTTTCGACAATCGACCCTTTTTTTTCCACTGCCGGACCCGGGTGAAAACCATCAATCGGACACTCTGAGAAGTGTCCGATTGATGGTTTTCTTGTTGTCCATCGGACACTCCCAATCAAGTGTCCGATGGACACCGGGCTGTACACCATCCTCTGGATGGTCTCGCCTGCCGAGCATCCCTTGGACGCTTTCTGAAGCGTCCAAACGATGCCCGGGCCGCCCAAGCGTCCGTTGGATACTTCGCAACCAAGTTGCGGGCGCTCGGGACGGAATCCATCCGTTTGCTGGGGGGTTTTTCTAAAAACCCGCCCCATGGTGTATACCCGCAGGGTACCAGCGCGGGATGCTCTGGATACCTCGGGTATCACCCGGGGCCCACCCTTATTGATGACCACTGAGCTAGCTGGGTAATCTGCTGGCTGGGTGATGATGGGGGAATTGGTGAAGGAGAGGCCTCCTTATATATTCTTTTATGAGTTATTTTGGCTGGTGGTGATGCAGTTGAGGTGATTTTGCTGGTGGTGACCTTGTGGGTTGCACTGCCTCCTGCAAAGAGTACATGCATTGAGCTAATTATGCTGTGGAATTAACTAAATATGGTGCTACTGTATGTAAGGATTGTATAAAATGGTTGCGCTGCCTGGTGGAGTTTTTCTTCCCACATGTATTTATGCAAAGTTGGTGTACATTTAATTGAGTTGCTAAGTGGAGGCCTAATGGTTGCACATATGCATGTGAGAGTTGCATAAATGATCTGCACTACTGGTGGAGGCCTGCTGATGTAATAATTTATGTGTATGTACTTATATATATGTGGTAAACTACTATTAAATACTAATTAATGACTAGTTATGGTATGGCTTTAACTTTTATATTGGATTATTTTCTTAACTAATAGAGATAGAGGTATAGTTGTAGTGAGTGACTATGGGTAAAATTTTATGTAGGTTCTGATTATGCAATAATTTATTCATATATTTCAGTGGTTTAGGTTATAAAGTAGGGGTTTTGATAGTTTTGTTGCGCACAACAGCCTGGACCACCAAGGCCCTTAAAAGGGCCCGCTACGCTGGGCTAACACACAGTTTAGAGGTGTTTTGGCTGTGTAGCAGCAGTTAGTGGCCAGTAGCGCAGCGTAGTGTGGCAAAAAGTTGATAACTTTCTGCTAACACTACACAAATTTGGCACGCAAAAAAGACCACTATGCCAACATTTTTTGGGCAAAAAGCGTAGCATAGAATCCCAGTGCTGCTCCAAGTCTTTGGAAAGTATCCTATTGTTAAGCAAGAAGAAAACAATTTGATGAGGTGTTCAACACTTTTGTCAGTACCCCACTTTATCATTTTGTTTGGTATTTTGTCATGACCACAAGCTTTTTTTTGGGAAGATCAGAGACAATTGTTTTTATCTCAGAGGCAAAATGTCTGGGAATTGAAGGGCGGGTAGAAACATTGTTAAGGGAAATATAGATAGGGGCATCTGACATTCCTTCAAAGAGAAGATTAGCTTGTTCTTCTTTATAAGATGTCAGTATGTCATTATCATCAAGGAGGTGGGCAACACTTCCATGATTGATAGGTTTAGTATACCTGTAAGCTTTGAATACTGGATGGTCTTTACATTTGGCCAAAAACCTTCTCCAGTGGTTCTTTTTCTGCTCATATACCTTGTCTCTAAAAACCCGCTGCCTGTATTATAATGTAAATAGTGTGCAAAAATTAATTCACTGTCCCTTACTATCTGATATCATTTTATCATCTACGTCATACGTGTAACCCAATTTGTACAGCATGGAAATGGGCAGTGATGGTAGTAAATACAAGATTGAGATCACCATTGATTTCAATTTTTTTTTCTACACAAACTTTTTTGGAGATTGCCATTAATGTACTGGTAAGGTCTAAATGTAGAAAGAGATGAATAGACAAAGCACATGGTTTCTAACCGGCTCGTTGGCCTTCTCGCCGAATTGCCAGCACCAGCGCTGCCACAGATACGGTATCTGCCCGTATCTGCCATGTATCACTATGTATCTGAGCCCCAATAAAAAAAAACTATCTGACCAATCTACTTTTATTTGCAAGGAGATTCAACAAATTTGGTTTTTGGCCATGCAGCTTTGCAGAATTCTCCATGATACACACAACGTATTGTATCTGTGGCAGAGTTGCCAGCACATAGTCCTAGATCACTGGCAACGGCCATGTGAACTGAGTTCCATCGAGTTTCCTACAGTTATTTATGAAGGTGGCAGAAGGTAATTGTTGTTGCGTGTCCTATAGTAACCAGAAATCAATTTCCAACGTTGCGAGTAAATCGTTCAGCATCACTTTTTGAACTCACCTCAACGTGGGCACAACATGCCACCGTGATGAAGCGATTCTGGTCGGAAGCGCAATCGTAGGTGGATGCCGCATCGATCCAATGGGCAGGAATTACTGCGAGGTTGAAAGATAATGATTAGATTACAATAATGAGGGGCGGATTTTGCCAAGAGCGCAAAGGGAGACTGACCCTCGGCTAGTTCTTTTTCATCCCGACCATTTTGACACAGCCAGAGATAGGCCAGTTTGGAACATTAGAATTGTCTTTACATCCAAACCCTTGGACATAAGTGACTGCGCCCTGGAGAAGGAATACTGAGGAGATTGAGAACACGTTGGATAATTTCATCTTGATTTTGCGGAGTTCTCTGGAATGTGGTGATATTGTGCTGGGTGGGTGGGGAGGCTGCTGGACGATGAGGAATTCATAGGCTTTTTTGGAGCAGAGGACAATGGATGAGAGCTGATGAGAGATGGTGGCAGCACCTGCCGTGGCAATTTATGTATATAGGATGATTCCCCTAGGGAGTTTCAGCCCGTCACCGCCTCAGGTTGTAAGGCTGTGCATGAATAGTACGAGTACATAAATACTTCCTGCCGTGTGCAAGTCCTTGCTGCCTGGTAGTGCCTGGTAACAAAGCCCTGTTGATGGCACGCATAATATTGCGCCAAGCCTAGCAAAGCCTCAGTTCTGTTCTGTATATTTACTTTCATCATTTCCTTGTTTTTTCTATTTTGATTTTTCTTGTATACTGCATTTATTGAGTCAGCCGCAAGAATCACTCCGGCAAGTCTAACAAATGGAGTGAGATAAGTAAGAGTGAATATGAAACACCAACTCCATAAGATTATGAAGCCCAATAATAAATTCAACAAGTGCGTTCCAGAATGGTTGGCTAGCTCACAAACCAAGTCCAACGTCCAACAATACCATACATTCATGAATGAATAGATAGATAGCAGTAAACAAGTACAACAGATTTCAAAATGATACAATCCAGCTAGCGTATGATATGAAAAGTAATCTACAATCGCACCTCACAAACAAGCATGCAGGCGCCGCCAGAGCTTCGCATTTGTCAGATAGAACGTTACTCAAAACAACCAGACGGTCTCAACATCGTCATCTTCAGTGACCTCGAGCACAATCCCAGGATGCCCATAGAGACCTATGGAAGAAAACCAAAAGAGTGAGTCAAAGGAAAAAAAAACCCGCAATGATAAATAAATTGGGCCCTTACGCGTTGGTCTCCTTAGAACCAATCCGTCATCAATCACGTCAGCAGTCCTGTCCAGAAGCATGGCAGGCTCGATCATGTTAGAGATTGCAGGAGTGGGGACTTCCGATGCTCTTTGGTCTGGTGAGCCTTCAAACGCTTGTGAGCTAAAGGATTCACATAGTTTACCGTTGTCGGCTAGTCCTTCTGGTTTACGATCTTCAGCTTCTTTTTGGGCAAAACTCGCCCTTATCTGCTGGTTGGTGTGAGTTGCCTGAGGGAAGAAAACTGTTGGTGAACACCGACACACCAGGGCATTTCAAAAGTTAATGTTTACCTTATCTGTGCTCAAAGCAATGTCCAAATTTCCATCCATGGAGCGAAGAGACCAAGGGCAACGTGAGTATCGAGCAAACAAGACCTCCCCTGGAATATTAGAATGCAGGATTGCCTTCAAGACCACATTTGTGATTGGATCAATCAAAAAATCAAGACCAATGTTGAAGTATGACATGAAGTACGGATTTGCTGGTTCCCAATAATTTTGAAAGGCAATCCTGATCAGTCATAATATCAGGCAGCTGCCCAGAAAACAGACTTACGGTCTTCAGTCTGTCCACCAGAGCGGCCATTCGACCGGAGGTGGGTGTGTATTTTCATGCGGTCCTACATTTATAACTAAACATCTCAGTTCAGAGAAATGTGAAGATACAGCCGATAGTAGGTTGGAGGTATTTTGATTAGATACCAACATCTTCCTTCCAAAACGTGCGCAATGGTGCGCCGAATTCGCACAAGATGTCCTCCGAGGTTGAACTTCCGATGGTCACTTTGACATCCGCGATCTCTCGGTTTGGAGACGAAGAATGAAAACTGAAAGTAATTGAAGTTGATTCTTCAAGATCCACTCTACCCAACTGTTGTAAAAGAGTCAAAACGAGATCCGCTCATACAAAACAAATCATGATGCGCCGGCACATACTTTTATTTTAGCAGATTTCAGATCTCCATCAATTGAGCTCATGTACTTTGGCATTCTAGGTTTGAAATAGGCCTCCGTCAGCTGAACCGATTCTCCTTCGTCCTCCTTACACTCTTCCCCTGTTGGTTGAACGGATAAAATGATCCTAGATAAAACCTCATGACTGAATGAGAATGTGACCCCGGGATATGACACGACCATCTCGTTGTGATGTGACGTATGGGGGGCTGGTGGATATGTTGGACCAAATAGACCTGATGGATCGACAGTTCAATTGTGAGGGATCAGTTTTTCTCATCCCGGTGTTTAAGTCTTCAAATCAATCTGACTTGAGGTTCACGAACGATGAATGACTCTTAGAGTGACGCCCGGCTCATTCGGACCGACGGCATGTGAGATTGGCTGGTTTTGATAGTGAACCCATTCGCCTAGAGAAGGGGAGTTGCCAATATTCCGTTCGTGAGAGGGTGACTGATGGGCCTCAATAAGCAGTAATCTCTGATCGACTCCTTCGAATAATAGGCGTGTGGGTGGGGAGGTTATTGACAAAAGGAGATATCCTGTTGCCGGTTTCTAGGTGAATTGAAGACAGACATAATCCTTGATCAGCAGGAGGGAAACAGAATCCTACTTAAATGTAAGTGCCTCTTACCCCGGCTTCCCAGCATATCTGGACATGCTTGAATGTGGCTTGTTCGGCTCGTAGAATGCTAAGTACGTTCCATAACAGCGAGCCTGTTGAATTAGAGAAAATTGACAAGCAGTCAGAAGTCGCCAAACTTGCTAGATCTATATGCTAGACTTTGCTTATTAGTATTTACCTACCCAATTCGATCGTTCCAAGTGAATGTCCTGGAATAAGTGAGAACTCCATGATGGTTGTTGTTGGTTAATGGTGAACGATGCAGAGACAAGCCAAGGAGTGGTGATGGACGGATGGTCAATAGGGACGCATGTAAGTATGTATTACGTAATATGTGCACCCCCGAGCAACTGATACGGCCCGAGTGGTCGGAGCCCGCGGGCCGCCGTATCGAGGATTCGAGGGGCACTGAGCCTCTTCTCCCGCCGGAAGGGACTTCAATGAGGATTATTCATTATCTGCATACCGTTGGCGTTGGCAAACCTTGCATGCATGAGTATAGATATGTTTCTCTTCACATGATGAATAATGAAGGGGTTTTTCATCTTGTTTGCACATGCAACAGGACTTGCCATTAAAGCTGAATACTGGAGCTAGCTGGCATTGGCAATCTGCAAGCCTTGACCGAGGCCTTGTTCTAATTATCTCAACATTTGAAGGACGGCAAGTTGGTGCTCATTCTATCTTCCAAATCACACATTTCGACCCCCTTCATACCCAAATAAATTTCCGAAACATTAATGGGATTCTGAAATGTATCCCTTTTGGTGGTGTCTAATCCATGACTTTTTCCATCTCCTCTCAATTCATACTTGAACTCTTTTTTGAAGGCTCTACCAAATTCATCTCAGACTCATCTCTCAATCTCTCAAACCCCTTCTCCATTCTCTCTCCAGTTCTCGTATATCCACTTGTGTGTGCACACACAAACTCAAATCTATTCCGTTTGATTTTCTCCAAATGAAGGTAGGTATAATTATCTTCAACTCCGAAGAGTGGAGTGTTTATCTTGAAGCATGATAGGACGTCTTTCCATGGTTTCATTCTTAACGTACAACAAAGGAATTACAGTTTCTTACAAAATTCGGAAACTTGATGAGCTATAAGTGAAGTGGGGATGACACCTTCCCCAATGCAGCCATACATTGGCATTAGATTTGATTTTGAAAAGCGCTGCACATAGGACGCCTGGGATGGCATCCCGTCTGAAACCACGTCTACAGAAAAAATAGATTCAAGTTAGCCATAGTGCTATTTGGCGAAAGAATGGGAAAAGGACTCTACTCACTTTGAGTAAGACTCAGAGACAATGGAATTGATGCGTGGAATGAAAAGGAAACTGAACAGAGACCAAGTTGCTTTCAACGAAGGTTCCGCGGCGAATCTGGCATTGGGAGTTTCCGCCGTCAAGGTCATTTGATGTTAAAACAGCGGGGGTTACGTTTGCCACCGATTCCTGCATATCCCGCTTTCCGAATCGGGCGCCGGCGACTCTGTTCTGTAACTGACATGATGGAATAGGGATCAGATGGAATTTGAAAAGGCGTTGCACATAGGACACCTGGGATAACGTTGGGTTCGAAACCACGTCTACCGGAAAATAGATCAAAATTAGTAATGGCATTTCGCGAAGGAATTGGAAAAGGAGGCTACTCACATTGATGCAGACACGGTGGAATTGATGTGTCGAATGACATGGCAACTGAACAACCACCAAGTTGCTTTCAAGAAAGTCCTCGCGGCAAATCAGGCATTGGGGGTTTTCATCGTCACGGTCGTTTGTTGCCAGAGCGTCGGGAGTTACGTTTTCCAGTAATGCTTGGATATTCCGCTCTCCAAAAGAGCGCTGGCGACTCTTTTCCATGACTGACATGATGGAAAAACCTTGGTCCAATAAGTGTTCGACGATCTCGACATCTGATTTTTCCATATTCGGACCCTCCAATACAAGGTCAACTTGCTCCAAATCACCGAAATATCTCGCGTACTCTGCTTCGCTGAAGCAGTCTCGGTCTGGATTGTTAGCAAGCTCCAAGTATGCTTCGCGCATGTTCGTGAACAGGCGTTCGAAGGCCAGCCGATCTTCAGGAGTGAGATCTTGCAACACTCTTTCGACTTCTTGGAAGTTGATAGGATCATCGCACATCCCGCTGGCTTGTAGGATCCTTTCAGCCTGCGCGTCAATATTTATAGGAGATGCAGAGCTGTTTATGGTTGCGATGAAATTATAGACAACTTCGCGAATGTCTAGAGGTAGGTTCTGTGATCCAGAAGTACTTGCAGCGACATTCAAGCTTTCGGGATAAGCCTGTGACTTCATTTTCGACTGTTGCTTCGCTGATTATGTTCAAATAGAAAGAAAGGGTGTTGAGCGAACAGGATAAGATGGAGGGGATGGGATAGGATAGAGGGTGCGCGTGTAAGGCTGGAAAGTTTATGACACGGATCGTTATATGCGTGTCACGACTTACCAATCGACAGAATATAGTGTGACGGAAGTGTGTCTTGATCTTTCTTTTATTTTTCACGAAAAAAAAAAATTGAGTAGCTCGCACGGGGGTTGAAAAGGCGAGACGGGATGGGATGGGATGGGTGCGTTTGTTGATACCTAGAAGTGTTGAGCCGACTGGGGTAAGAGGAACAACCCTCCCCCCCATATGTATCTTCTACGGAAGGTGAGCCTGAGTGCCCCAGCCTTGACAGCCGGCCTGAGGTGTTGCACACTCAGAAATTTACACTAAGCATTCACCAGCCTTGGAGCGCACTAGCGGAGGTTTAATCGGCCTCAGCTCGATAAATGTTCCATGCGGACTCAGCCCTGGAAGCCGGCTTGAGGTATTGCACACAAAGCAATGATCCCGAGTGGGCCAGCCTTACACTCAGTAATTTACAGTTAGTGATTATCACACCTAAAGCGCACTAGCGGAGGTTTAAACGGCCTCAGCTTCATAAATGCTTCAGGCGGGCCCAGCCTTGGAAGCCGGGACGATATGCTAGCAGTTGCTTTTCCGCTCTCTACCTTTGTCTTCTTTGGAGCGAAAGGCTTTCCTTCCTTGCCGGTGGTGGTGCAGCTGCTGCCGAGGATTTGTCCTAGAAGATGCGATACTTTTCTACTTTTATTCTCTGTTTACTCTGACTCTAGTAGGTTGGATGCTTAAATTTTTCAAGCCGTTGGTAGCAGCACACGACGGCGGGCGCGGACCCACAGGAAGTCCCTTGTCTTTGGAGGGTTGCTGCCCTTCCGAAGGTGCCTACGCCAGGGCATCCTCCATCCGAACGGAAACAAAGGACTCCACCAAGTTCGTCAAGTGAGGTCTATTTACATGGATACTTTGAAGTGATGTTTTCAATGGTGAGAAGCTGCTTGATAGCGCCAATGATATTGGCACTATTGGCACTATCAAGCAGCTTCTCATCATGGAAAACATCACTTCAAAGTTTCTAAATATGTATAGTTATCCGAGCGCACAACGCTACTGATAATTTTGACATCTTCATTCGGACGCGAGTCTCAAAGGCTTGAGGCACAACTGCAAAAGAAACCTTGGGTGGAAATCTACGTACAACACGATGTGAGATTCAGAAATCAAAAGAAAAAAAGTGTGTGGGCCGATGATGAATAAGTCCTAGTTCAGAGAAACACAACAAAACTAAAACGAGTGAAGACATGCGTGAAACTCAAGTTGATAATCAGGAGGGGCTATCATGTTGCGAGGCCAGAGGCAAAGGAGCTGACTTGGTTCTACGTCTGACATGGCAGTGGCAGTGCCAACGATCCTTTCTCTGCTATGTGAGCAGGAGGAAGCTTTCGTAAAGGGAGGCGATAGTGGGTAGCCTCCAAAGGAAACAGCTAGCTTTTAAAAAAAGCTAGCCAAATTAGATAAATTTTTTATTTAACTCGCACGCACTACTTTGATGGCCCAGCTGGCAGTAGCGCTGGTGTTATCTCTAAGGTAGATTTTTGCTCTTGCTCCTGGTGTCAAGTCATAAAGTCTTGTGCTTACACCCACGCAGTCTCATTGCCAGTCCTCACATCTCTGCATGCTTCCACATCTGAAATCATGAGGAGGCACAGTCGGAGCGCGACTGTGTCAATGTTGGCCCCAGTTGCTACCTCGGTCTCCAACTGATTATCTGCAAGTGGATCACGACTTGACACTTTTGTTATGTCGAAGTGAAGGCCAGACAAAAAATGCCGAATAATGTATGAACTCAGTGCATCGGCCGGATCGCAATGGTGAACTCGATCGCTCCCATCAGCAAGCCCAACGAAGTCATGAAGCTTCAGCTTTTGATGGTTTCTTTGAACTGTACATATTTACCTGTGATCATGGAACGCGGGGGTTTGAACTTGGCGGTTGGCCCCGCGAGCATTTGTTGGCGAAGAGCTGGCTTCGCGGGCCAAGTCTGCCGGATCGAAGTCTTGCAAGCAATTGCATAATGACCAAAGAAGCCTCATCATGCCAACTCAGCGGATTCTACATGCGCTTTTGAGACCACCCGCAACATACAACATGCACGTGTATAGGTGCCGATCAGCAATACTTTGAGCAGGCAGAGTTGATCCCTAAGACCGTTTTGGTTGGGTAGACTCTGCAGGGATGAACTCCCAACACCAGTTTTCAGGTTGACCATGTACGGGGAGACTTCCACCATGGGTTTTTCTTTTAACAATGTACATTGAGTGTGAAGCCCACAACAAAGCCGAGTTTTCTCTACAAGCAGCAAAAAAACAATTGTAGATTTTCACTGATAATCATAATCCTCATTTCAATTGTGCATTTCATAGAAAACATGGTGGTTGATTTGCAAAAGGGAATATGTGAAAAACAGCTCAAACTTGTTGGAAAGGGACGGTAATGTTGACAATGAAAAGGACAGATATATAGGGTCTATCTGGTATGGTTCTAGTTTTGAGTTTTTAGACTCATGTTCTGAAGGTATACAGATCGACGTGAATTCACTATCGTGCTTGATTGACCAAATCGAAACATGGCTTGTGAATCCGCGAGATTGGTTCATCCAGGATTTTCTCTCTCTTCGCATTCGGTTATGTCATCGGAGGATGGTTTATTTCTTCTTCACTTCCTTCCTCTTGATGATTTCGTTATTCAAATAGATACCTTTCCCATCTGATATAGAAGATCGGAGAGTCAGAAAAAGCGCTATAGTCCCCACAGAAGTATATTTGGATCATTGCAAACAAAGTTACCGCGTACTGTATGGTTCTGGGGGTCTCCATTTTCGTATTCCAGCACCCAGTAGTCCAAGTTCTTGTTTGTCGATACCTTTGAGTAGGATTCTATTAGGCGAAGGTACTTCGCAAGAGAGAAAAGTATCCGAGTCGGGTAAGTTGATGAGTACCGGATGAGAGTAACCGACTCGAAGGTTGAGCCGCTGGCGTTTGGGTTGAGAGTTAGCTGGTTGGTTTGGGTGTGGAGGGATGTCTTCAAGAGATGCCCGATAACCAACGCCGACCAATTCGAGAGATGATGTAAAGGCCTCAGTGACTCCATGGACGGCGTTGGCCATGAGAGCCCGAGTGAGGCCCCAAATCCCACGTTGTTTCTTAGCCGCCGAATCCGCAACGTTGACCTTCAAGAGGCCCGGTCCGGATATGACATCTTGTGGAACTGCTGTAGGCACTTCTGCAACAAATTTGCCGGGTGAGGTGAGTGGTGTGGGTTGGAGATCGGCTCCTAGGATTCGATTGGTCGTTGGACTTTCGAAGGTGAAGGTGACGAACGGGAGGACATCGACATCCAGTTTACCGAGTTTTCCCTTGACCGAGATTTGTGGGTAGCCATAAGGAATGGCCGATGTCGACGTTCGAGGACGCACGGGATACGAGAATGAGAGGGTTACTTCTGGTGGGATGTCGATAGGCTTTGAGCCGATGTGAGATGCTCGATTGATCGTGACGCTGAACTGTCGAACGGTCAAGCGGACCGACCTTCCGAGGAGTGGGGTGGCGATCAGGTGACTGGCCCTGCTTGCGCTGACGGTGAAGAGGTTGAAGGACATCATCACCCGGATCGAGCCTGTTGCCGTTGGATTCGTGCCGATGCCCGGCTGCTGCAGCCGGCTGTGATGGCTGAGAGGGGGATTCCAAGATGAATATTCATTTTGGACTACGCCAGCTGGGAGTGAAGCATCTCCACCCGAGATCCGACGAAACCACCACTTTTCTTCTTTCCATTGCAATCTGGTCAAATTTGCACTCACACCCCTGAAGCTGTACATACACCAAAACAGAGTCCTTCATGAATCTCAAATCCAAACACACTTGAAATTTTACACGGGACTTCCACCAGGAGAAATGTTTTCATCCACCTGCTAACCGACGAGGAAGAGCCACCAGTCCACAGTGGGTCTATGTACGTCAAATGCTGGCCAGGAGAGCAACCAAGCCACACAGTGGAGTTTGGGAGATGTGGTAAAATCTCCGGTCCTTGGTTCGAGCGCAGATTCGACTGCACAAATCACTCCTTAGGATAATATGCTTTCCTGCTGTCACGTTATGGTTTGATAATAATCGAAAGTGCTCAGTAGTGGCGCAGGAAATTGGAATGGGATGATTCAAAATCCTCAATAGAAAGCAATTATCGGCACTCGACACAAATCCAATGAGTAATCGCATCGGGAGAAACCGTCTCATTTCTTGTCTATCAACGAAGCAGCGCTCTTTCTGAGCTTAGCCGTACAACAGCCAACTCCAAGATCAGAAAACCAAATCTGACATATGCAGTGTCCCGCCATTGAAGTGAGTGCCCAGTGAATGAAGGCTTTCTAGAACCAGATTGTTGCTCGAGTGAGATCGTTGACGTTGGAAGGCAAAGAAAAGAAAATATCCCCGAGAGGTGTGTGCATTTGTGCCTTGCCGCCGCCGCACTGGGCCGATTCGCAGACTCTGCCGGCGGCAAGTGCCTGGACGGCGGGTGTCATGTCCAGTTACATTGAGTGATTCGAGCATCGGGAAACTGGATGAATCCTTCCAAGATCAACCGGGTTTGACCATTCGGACGCGCTTTTCGGACTGGGGGACAGGGCGCAAGCCAAGTATTGCACAATAGCAAGACGGCAGTCGTGGTTTCACAGAGATCAGTACGGAATCTGCCGATGAATTTGCTTAGTCGGATTAGTCCCAATGTCAGCTTCATGACCCTGGGACAGGCCATCTAATCATCCGGCGTATGGCTTGCCATAATGTTCCAGCAAGGATAAGACTGAGGTGGGCTGTTATTGGCACGCAAACTAGCCAAAGAGAAATCCTATTTTTGTATCTTTTCTGCCCCGGCTCATTGGCCCACGCTGTCGGAAACACTGCTCGTTTGCCTGAGGGGTCCCGGAGACTGACTGTCAGCCGGGAGGCTGGATCTACTTCCTCGCTTGGGCCTTGG